AAGTCAACATGTCAGCGTTGGAGGCTATCCTCGCTGCTATGCCAGCGGAGTACAGGGAGCCATTGGGGATGAAGAACTCTGCTAAGGAGGCATGGGAGGCCATTGCAGCGATGCGTGTCGGCTCCGACAGCGCAAAGAAGGCGACGGCCCAGCTGCTGAAGCGGGAGTACGCCAACCTCTAGTTTAAGGATGATGAGTTTGTGGAGGACTTCTCCCTCTATCTGTAGTCGCTCATCAGCAAGCTGAGGAGCCATGGCATCACCATCGACGAAGAAGAGGCGGTCTCCAAGTACCTCCACTCCGTGCCAGTGAAGTACATCCAAATCGCTCTCTCCATAGACATGATGCTGGACTTGTCCACCGTCACCATTGAGGATGTGACAGGCTATCTACGGGCGGTGGATGAGCGCATGGAGCAGGCCACAACAACGATGGACAGCGGCAAGTTGCTGCTGATAGAGAGGAGTGGGTTGCCCGTATGAAGAAGTCCGGGGAAGCCTCCTCCAGTCGTGGTGCGATGGCAAGCGCCGCGGCAAGGCTTCTTCGGAGAAGAAGAAGAAAGTCGACCCCAACGCCTGCCGGTGTTGCGGGAAGACGGAGCCATTGGGAAAAGGAGTGCCCAAATCACTGGCGGAGAAGAAGGTGAGGCTCATTTAGCGTGGGTTGATGAGGATGATGAGGCCACTCTCACGATGGCGGACGTTCTATGCACTACACGACATTGAGGCCAAGGAGAAGGGAGAGGTGATGGCAGTGGAAGGGCACGACAAGGCTATGAAGGCTGTCAACCTCGATGAACCACGCGCCTAAGTCCACCTCAGATATGTGGGCAGCGAACAGGAGTAGCGGTCGTACCTAGACTCCGGTGCCAGCAACCACATGACGGGTTCCAAGGAAGCCTTCTCTGAGCTTGACAGCAACGTGACCGGCACGGTGAAGTTTGGTGATGGCTCAAGGGTGGCGATCCGAGGGCGCAGCACCATAATCTTCAGGTGCCAGAACGACGAGCACCATGCGCTGACGGATGTATATTATATCCTACAGCTGCGTTCAAGCATCATCAGCATTGGCCAGCTGGATGAGCGCGATAGCGAGGTACTGATCAAGGACGGTGTCCTCAGGATCAGGGACCAGGAGCAGCGGCTTCTTGCCAAGGTGAAGAGGGCCCAAAACTAGCTGTACCTACTCGACTTAAAGGTGGAGCAGCCGATGTGCCTGGCAGCATGGCACACGGAGGAGCCATGGCTGTGGCATGCCCGGTTTGGCCATCTCAGCTTAGACGCGCTCGATCGGCTGGAGAAGATGGTCTGAGGGCTGCCCCACATCAAGCACACAGGCAAGCTATGTGATAGCTGCCTGGCCAGGAAGCAGAGGAGGTTGCCATTCCTAAAGGCGGCCAAGTATCGTGCGGCGGGCGCTCTCGAGCTCGTCCACGGCGATCTCTGCGGGCCAATCACGCCAGACACAAACGGTTGTCGGTGGTACTTTCGCCTGCTCATGGATGATTGCAGTCGCTATATGTGGCTGCAACTCCTAACGAGCAAGGACGAGGTGGCAGAGGCGATCAAGAAGTTCAACGCGCGCGTGGAGGCGGAGAGCGGCAAGAAGCTGCGCGTGCTGCGGACTGATCACGGTGGCAAATTCACTTCAGTAGAGTTCGCTGCGTATTGCGCAGATCAGGGTGTGGTGCGACACCACACCGCACCGTACTCACCACAGCAGAATGTCGTGGTGGAGCGATGGAACCAGAAGGTGGTCAGCATGGCTCGATCCATGATGAAGGCCAAAAGCATGCCGGCAAAGTTCTAGAGAGAGGCGGTGACCACGGCGATTTTCATCCTCAACCGCACGCCCACCAAGGCCTTGAAGGGCAAGACGCCATTCGAAGCTTGGTATGGGCGCAAGTCGAGCATGTCCTTCCTCTAGACATTTGGCTGCATCAGCCACGTCAGGATGACGAAGCCGGTCCTCACCAAGCTGGAGGACAGGAGCACACCGATGGTGCTCCTAGGCTACGAGAAAGGTACCAAGGCGTACCGGCTCTATGACCCATGTGAAGGCAAGATGGTTGTCTCGCGCGATGTTGTGTTCGACGAGAAGGCGGCCTAGGACTGGGACAGTCCGAGCATGGGGGAAGCTGGCGGCCTCACCAGCACCTTCATCATCAAGCCCTTGGTCATCCACAGTAGTGGAGACGCTAGAGATGAGGTGCCGAGCACTCCAGCAACAGAGACGAGCACTCCTAGGGCGGTGCCGAGCACTCTGGGAGGGGTGCCGAGCACTCCAGGAGTGGTGCTGAGCTGTCCTGCAGTGGTGCCGACCACTCTAGGATGGGTGCCGAACGCTCCCGTACTAGAGCTGAGAGGTCCTGCAGTGGTGCCGACCACTCCAGGATGGGTGCCGAACGCTCCCGTAGTAGAGCCGAGAGGTCTTGTAGTGGTGCCAACCACTCCAAGATCTGGTGTCGAGCACTCTGCAGTGGTGACAAGAGGTCCGTGAGTAGTGCCAAGCACTGCGGTAAAGTCTTGAGCACTCCTGTGTTGTCTCGACCACTACGCGTAACAGGGGACTCCATCGACGCCGATCGAGTTAACCTCACCTCCAAGCGACATCACCGAAGTTTGTGGATGCCTTTCACGACGGTGAGGAGGTGCGGTTCTCTGAGGCCGGACAACATTGTCGGTGGCATAGGGTCCTTAGGCCCGGCGAAGTCGGGCTGCTTAATGACCTAGAACTACTTCTCGTCGGTGTAGAGGAACCACCCACGTTAGATCGGCCGAAAGCGCGATGCAAATTGGCGATGGGTGATCTTTGGAGGAGATGAAGGCGTCGAGCAAAACGAGACTTGGGAGCTCGTCGATCCACCTCCGAGGATGCCGGTCGATCGGCTGAAGTGGGTGTACAAGGTCAAGCGGGCGAAGCGCAACGCGATTGTCAAGCACAAGGTCGCCTCATCACCCGAGGCTTTGTCCGGTAGCGAGAGCATTGACTTGAGGAAGTCTTTGTCTTTGGTAGCACGCATGGAGTCTATCCGACCGCCGCGGCTTTGGCGACATCAAAGGACCTGGCGCGTCCATCTATTATCAATGGCAAGCTGGCAGAGACGGTCTTTGTCAGTCAACCTCCGGGTTTCGCCGTCAAGGGAGCAGAGCACAGGGTGCTCCGACTACGCAAGGCGCTCTACGGGCTGCGGCAGGCCCCGTGAGCGTGGAACGCCAAGCTTGACTCCACATTGGGCGAGCTTGGGTTCACTTAAAGGCATAACCGAACACGCGCTCTACACGCAGCTGACGGGGAAGGAGGAGCTCGTCGTCGGCGTGTAGGTGGATGACTTGATGATCAGCGACGCGTGCGGAGGACATCGGCAGCTTCAAGCTCGAGATGGCGGCTCATTTTCGAATGAGCGATCTCGGCGCTCTCTCCTACTACCTCGGCATCGAGGTGAGACAGGGAAGGATGCGCTCACGCTCGGTCGAGCGCGTACACCTCAAAGCTATTGAGCGAGCGGCATGGCTGAAAGTGCAAGCCGCGGCGTAACTCGATGGAGGAGCGGGTGAAGTCGACGAAAGCCGCTACCGCGGTAAAGGTAGATGCAACACTCTACGGAGCATCGCCGGTGGTCCGCGCTACCTAGTCCACACGAGGTCGGACATTACGTTCACCGTGGGCTATGTCACCGCTTCAAGGAGGATCCCGAGAGGATCACCGAGCAGCGGTGAAGTGGGTGCTACGCCACGTTAAGGGGACGGCAGATCAGGTGATCGTCTTCCCCAAGACCGGCGGAAGTGCGTTGTAGCTCACTGTGTTCTACGATGCAGACATGGCGGGGGACATCGACGGACGGCGGAGCACCTCTAGCGTGCTCGTCTTCCTCGGATCGGCTCCAATCTCATGGGTGTCGCTGAAACAGAAGGTGGTGGCACTGTCCACATACGAGGCGTAGTATGGTGGCGGCTGCCACCGTGGCGATGCCAATTTGTGTGGTATGTGCCGATCGCCGGGCGGATGATCGGTGTGGAATCTCACCCACCAAAGATCGATGGTGGACAACCAACCCGTCATCGCCTCGCGAAGAATCAGGTTCTCCACGACCGAGCAAGCACATCGACGTCAAGTTCCACTTCCTCGTGGACCGTGGTCGATGGAGGGTAGATCGTCATCGAGTTCGTCGGCCCCGGGACGGCAAGTCGCGGGACGTCCTCACTAAGCCGCTTTTGGCCGTCTTTCGGTTCACGGAGTCAAGAAGATGATCGGCATGGTGGAGGTTCTAGAGTTAGCAGCAGGATTAGGGAAAGAATTGTAAAGTAATCTGTTGCTTCTTCTTACGCAGCTGGCTTGCGGGGCATGCACTGAAAGGTCTCTGTCTTTGCCGCATCAGAAGCTTGTGGCAGGGGCGGGCCGAAAAGCTCCCTCGCCGCATCAGTAGCCACCGTGAGGGGGCAAGCTTAAAGTCAGCCATGTTGTTACATCTAGTCACCGTAGCAACTTTGGCATGTCTCGTGTCCTAGGATTAGATGGGTAGAGTTGTATATATAGCTTCCCACTGCAACTCAGTAAAGAGAGCGAGTTCAATTTTGTTATCTCCTCTGCAGAGCTCCGGCCAACGTTGATACTTGTGCTGTGTGTACGTGCGCGCTCCGTTCATCATTCCTTTTTATACCTCTAGCCATAGTGAACGAGAATGCCGGAAAGCGGTCGGCTCACCCGTGTGAGATCTCGGGACTAACACTTCTCACTACTTTGAGAGTGTCAGCTGTGGATCCAACCGACGGTACAGAATTGAACTTGGACCGCTGGTTGATGCTTATAACCGATGATGCAAAAATGACCAGTACATATATGATCTTCATCATTGTTTGCCACAAGGAGCCAATGGTACAAAATGGTTTTCACCTTCAGGTGAGGAACTGACTGAAAGCGATTTCTACTTACACTTGCGTACGGTCGGTTCTAAAACGCTGGTAAAAACTCTTTGGAACCGAGGGTACCAGGTATTACTATCATGTAACACTGCTAGTACACACTGCTTTTGCAACAGAACTGAGCACAGAGACGATGTCGGGAATTTTGGTTGCAACAGGAGCTGTAAATAAAAATGTACCAGTAAAACCAGTATACAAAAGAGTTCAGGGCTAAAGCCAGAAAAAACAACGAAAATAACTACTACACAAAATGTTCACTACACGAGCTCTATCCATCAGAAACAGATCAAGCTGTCCACAAGATGTATTGTGGCCCAAGTATATGATGGTATACAGATACAAGAGGGCATTGTGGCACATTCAGGCTACCGATGCCGTTTCATTACCAAAAAGATAAGTAACACAACGTACAGACGTAGAAACAAAACAAAGAGATGTCTTCTAACAGGTTGTGGTGGGAGTCGGTGAGATTCATGGTCATCGAAAGCACGATAGCAGCAAACAATGACACCGCCGACAACATTTTCTTGTAGGTCTCATCAGCCGGAGGTGGTCCCAGTGACAAGAACTTCCTGCTGGTCTCGTCAACCGGAGCTGCTGGTCCCCATGGTGAATCATCGTTACCTGTGGAGCTGGACGAGCTTGTAGAACCTGTTCTCTGTACACCAGCTTCTTGTGAAGGAAGATGATCCTTACGTGCGTCTGTTCTCTGTGTCTTGTATTTGAAAAAGAAATCATTGCCCCGGGCATATGAGAAATATGGCAATCTCTTAGGCAAATATGCATAAACGCGTGGAATCTCTCGAATGATATACCAGTCTTCCTTATTGCGTTCACATCTCGCAAGAAGTTCTTCTTTGCCTTCTATATGTAGTGTCTCTATCCTTGAAAAATGCTGTCCCAGCCATTTCGGAAGCTGCTCAAGCTGTTCATCTTCCATGTGAATGTGCTGCAGTGAGTTCACCCCTGAAACAGTTTCCAGGTTTGGGCAGCTGATCACTGTAAACACCTTCATTAGTGGAAGATTTGACACTTCCCTGAGACTTGGCATTGCTTCCACAAGCAACTCCTGCACAGGGATTTTCTCAAGGACCTGTACTAGTCCTGCATGTATCAGCTCCATCTTTGACATAGTTTTGCAGTGCTCCAAGCCACCCGGAAGACGCTTCAGCTTTGGGCACCTTATGAGTGCCAGCTTTCGAAGGTGTAGCAGGTCGCCAGCTCGAAAATCTGACCAGTACTCCAAATCTTCCATGCCCTCAATTTCCAACTCCTCTACATTAGGAAATGATGGCATTTCTGATGTTGGTTGCATGTCAATTGTTTGCAGCTTGGAAAGATTGGCTATTCTGAGAAACTTCAACTTCTGAAGATGACAAATTGGTGGTAACCTTTCACAGAACTTGGAGTTTTCCAGGCTAAGGTGTTGCAGATTTGGAAGCTCAGAGAAACATAACCATTCTGGATAAACAGTTCCATGGTAACCATCAATTTTGAGTGACACTAAACATTGATGAGGATGAAGCTGTGTGAACATTGTTTTCGATCTCTAGCTCTCCAGCTGATAAAGTTTCTGATTTAAGAGTACAGCATCTGATCTCCAGGTTCCTGAGATTATCTTTCTCCTTCAGCTTCAGCATTCCATTTCCATAGCTTGCAATGTTTCTGTCTACAATTTTTCTAATATCTATCTGCAGGTCACTTAAATTGCTCATGTTCTGCAGATCTTCCAAAGGTAAGCCATTTGAAGACATGCTGTCCACTACAAAGCCATGAAGAAGTGCAAGATGCCTCAGATTGTGCAACCTTGTGGACTTTGTAATGCCACTGTCTCTGAAGTCGAGATATTCCAGCTTCAGTAACTTTTGTATGCTTTTGGGAAGGGAAGTGAGATGTTCACATTCCCTGCAAACCCAAGAACCGCAGTCTCCTGAGGCGGCCAATGGACTCAGGGAGTGCTCTTATTTTTGTACAGGAAAGATTTAGGTGCCTAAGGTACACCAGATTTTCCAACGTCTTTGGAACAGATTGGATCTCTGTATCTGAGAGGTCAAGAACTCGCAATAATTCCAGGTTCTTGCATATGGTTTCCATGTCAGTTTCACCAAGTGGATTGCCAGATAGGAGAAGTGTCCTCAAACTCTTTAGCCTTCCGACGTCTTCAGGGATAGTGGTCAGTCCTTTGTTCAGAAAAGATAGACGATACAGGCTAGCTGGCAATGTAGCCACATACTTGGGATCGCCAGCACATACCTCATTTTCAGTTAAGGATTCTGCAATTTTCCTAACTTGCTCGTGCATCTTATATCGTTTTGTTTTGTTTTCTCGTTGAACAAGACCCTCTCTGCAAGCTCTTTGAAGTATGAGTCAGCCATCTCTTGAACCGAACAATGGCTTTGCTTATTATCTAGACTTGTTTTTGAAGAATGTCCACTGCTGCTGACGCAAGGTGACCCTTTAGGTGGCTGATGGTTGTGGTCCTCTACTATCCCTTGCGACGAAGTAGTGTTCTCTCTAGCATGTTCTGATGAAACATTGTTCTCATCATCAACAACAACAATTTCAGACGAGGTGATGCTTTGCCCTCGCTCTTGTGCTGTCTCTTCACTGTTGTTGTGCTTGTTGGATTCCTCTTGGGAAACACTATTCTGCTCATTAGCAGTCTCTTCTAATGAGTGGCCATGTCTTGTACCAATATCAATAAGGCCCTCTGAAATCCACAACTGAGTAACCAAGTGTTGCTCAATCTCAAAATCTACAGGGAAAAGTGATAAGTAAAGAAAGCATTGCTTTAGGTGTGGTGGAGCATACTGGTAGCTCAGATAGATGCTGCTCCTAACTCCTCCTTCAGTTCCCGTGGTAGGATCCTTGAGAGAAAATGCTCTGCTATCACATATTCCTCCCATTCCTTTTGTCTGTGGCCCTTTCGACGAAGAACACCTCCAACAGCCTCAATGGCAAGAGGAAGACAATTGCATTTTTGCAGAATTCCTATACCAATTTTCTTTAGTTCTGGTGTGACTTTTGCTTGCTCCAGACAAGCTGCCCTAAGTAGTAACATCCAACTATCTTCCACTGTTAGCTGCCATATGCGGTCTGTTTGGAGACCGTATCCTTCGGCGCCTTTCTGGATTTGAGCTGACTTTATCTCATTGCCAACATTCTCATCACTAGTTGTTATCAAAACACGGCTCCCTTCAGCAGCAGCATGAAAGAACTTGAGGACTTCAATCAGGTTCCCAAATATTTCAGCGTTGCCTATGCCTTGTTTTGAGGGAACACCATTGTATATGTTAAAAACCAGAAAGATTCTCCTTCCCCCAATCTTGTCAGCCAACAGCATCTGGAGTTTGTTCTTTGTTTTTGGTACTTTCAGGACCCCTATAGCTGGTGCAGCACATGTTGCCTGTAAGATCTGAGCAACACTGGATCCTTTAGAAATGGACACCCATACGCGTGTGCTGAAAGCACTTTGCGTCCTCTGATCATCAAATATATTTCTGGCTATAGTTGTTTTTCCTACTCCTCCCAGCCCATAGATTGCAAAAATGACAAACTGCCGAGATGGTTCATGATGTTCTGTCAATTTGTCGACCAATGGCAATATCCTCATCTCAATTTTTTCTGTATCCACTAAATTGTCATGGCGCATGAGTTCCTGACCATCACATGATCTGTCATGCTGATCATCTCCCATTTTTCTGCTTGAGAGCGTGGGAGGACGGTTCTTAGATACTGAACCTACATCCTTAAGTAAGTTCCTTACTTCTTGCTTGATATACCTGTCCGTGGTAAAACGGCGCACAATCTGTAAATGGAGAGAGTGTCAGTAAGGAAACTAACAAATAAGACAAATCAACCTAGGACATTTGGCTACTGCCTACTGGTCATCCACATGAACTTCACAAGATGGACTGTGCCAATATCATATGGGGCTAGCATGATCCTCACGCCCTTACACTTGTTTTCAGCTCACACTAGATCACTACAACAGACACAGCATATCAGTTGGTTTTGGCTAAAGCACCATGCCAACATAGCAGACCGCCTGAGTCTCCTGATGGCCCCGACACGACGCCACCGCCCCAGCCAGGCCCTACCCGACCGCCCCCACGCCTCCGCCCATAGCAACGCCAGGCCACCGAGACGAAGCGCCGGTCGGCCCGGCCCGCCGTCATGTCCGCCCACGCGACCCCCGCCCAGCCGCCCATTCCCGGCACGCCTGCACAGCGTGTCCCGTCCTGCCACCCGCCCTCGCCCAGGCGCCGCCTGCTGTGGCTGCAGGCATACGCCCGCTGGAGGCCCGACCCGACCATGCCACGTGGCGCCCCGACTCTACCGACGATTGGTCAACCTAAACTATGGGTCGAGGCTCAGTTTTAATTCTGAATTTTCAAAATGGCTAGGTCCTTAAACTTTAGTTTTGAGTTCTTCGTAGTTCATACTTTATAATTTTTTATTTAGATAGACTCAATTTCATCATGAAACTACAAAGTGCATTTCAGTTTTTAAACTTTTATTTTAAACTCAACTTCACCCCTTGTCATATCTGAACACCACCAACGACGGGAGATAATATTGTCCAAATCTCTTTAGTGACCATTAATAATTCTAATGTATTATTTTAATATTACCTTGTAATGGTACCATTTAAATACATCCTATTAGATTGTTTTCATGAGAGCAATTATTACTGCTACATATGCTATTTAGTACCTTATAAGAACACATGGATAAATTAAAAAAAACAACAACAAATTTACAATATTTTTCCTTAACTACTTTTAGTGTTAGGCTCAACTAATAATCAACTATGGACAAAAATAATATTTTTCATCCATAGGCTAAAAAATAACTCATATTCAAGAATACTCATATATATATTTCCATTTTTTAAATATGGATATAAAGCTGAAAGTGTGCTATGTGATTAGGTAGCTAGGACGACGCAAGGAATAGCGGTAACTAACAATAACTAATTAACTATCCATCTAAAGTAATGGGTGGTGTTAGAGTTGAAGAGGCATGACAATGCATCGTTCCACGTAGGAAAAGGGACAAAGTTGAGCCAAAAAGGAAAATTCAACGACTAAAAAGCAATTTGATAATTCATGGCTGAAAATTATGCTAAAACAAACCAATCAGTTTGAAAGTTCGAGGGTAAAATGATGCCCAAAAAAACTAAGGACTGAAATGGCCATTCTAAAAATTTCCTTGTGCAATAGTTGAAGCACCAAAATGAGTATTCCACCGAGTTGACGCCACCAAAATTTCAGGTTGTCCTCTAAAATTCATAACTTGTTTATGCAACTCCTTTATGTGCTTCTCCGGAGGAGCCGAGCTCTAAGGAAGGAGACATAAATTGCAACTCTTTTGTATTAAAAACAACAGCTCCGGCTCCTCTTTCCTAAAAAAAGCTTTATCCTCTTAGGGTGTTTGGTGTGGCTTCTCGGGCTCCTCTGCCAAAGCTACTGCTCGAACTTAAGTCAAGAGCCACGCCAAACAGATCCAAGGTCAAAGGAGAAATTTTATATGAAAATTATAGCCTTTTGTGGAATTGAAAACTCTTTTTATTTAAAGTCATTCGAATGACAAAATATCTTTCAACCAATTTGGTATCCGTGATCTCTATTGGATAGTCAATATGAAACAGTAAAAAAACATTACTTAAACAAATTGCTATCTCTAATGTTAATATTTACACAGTGAGAAAGTTTTAAGTTTGTTTATCGAAGCCGTTGTTAGCTGACAACAATGTTTACTCACATAGTCAGAGTAAATAAAATATTTATTTGAAAATTGTATTTCTTGATGAAATCAATATATAATTTTCTGGTTGACAACACAATCCATATAGAGCATAAATAATCGTCAAAGTCCCAAGAAACTAAGATTAATTAAAATGAAAATGAATCATTGTAGTCAACGATCACATATAGGTAGAATTGTGAGAACATAACGCCCGGAGGGGAGGTCTACATAAATAGATTTGAAGAGAAACCATTATGGATTTTGGGTCTCTATCAAATGGTGAAATGGATGATTTACATAATAATTTGAATACATAATGAGGTTCTAGTAGCCGCTACTAACTTCGTTCCTCTATAAAGTCTTATAAATTAATCTATTATCACAAGTTTCTCTGACATAACAATCTTATCTTACTATTACTAATTACAGGTTCTAACAGAGTCTCCATGTTAACTCACCAAACATGTTACAAAAAGATAAATTCTATAAATTCTCACAACAATCAGACATCTAGCCTTTAATTTGTAATTACCATCGCTAATAATAACAATTTGGTCTAATCAGTTTTATAAAAATCACCGACCTCTATCATTATAAAAATATATAAAAGTAATTTTACATCTAAATTACCCTACTCTACCATTATGAAAGAAAATTCAAAATAACTTATAAATTCGTATATAAATTACCCACATACGTCATTATAAAATATAATTAAAAATAACCACCTAAATTTGCATCTAAATTACCTATCTCTGCCATTATGAAAGATAATACAAAATAACCTCATAACTTTGTATCTAAATTATTGACCTATGCCACTATAAAAGATGATTTAACATAACCCTCTAATATTTTTTTCTAAATTACACACCACTACTGTTACGAAGGATAATGCAAATCAAGCCCTAAGTTTACATTCAAATTACTCATATATACAATTATGAAAGTTAATATAAAGTAATATCTTTTAATTTCTTTATAAATTATCCACCTCGGTGTTTACAAATAAATAAATAAAAATATCTCTCAAATTTACATGTAAATACAATATAAACTATTATGAAAAATAATTTAATATCCATAAAGTGCTCTATATATTTCTAAATTACATACTTCTATAAGTTAAAGTAAGCATAATGCTACGTTTCAGGATATATATCAAGTAAACATATATACAATAAAATAAATATTTATTCTAATAGCTTATCAAGTGTGAAGAATGTTTCTTTAATAAACCACACAACAATAACACCAACAATTTACTCTAAGTTATATTAATACTCATCATAAGTTATTATTTTAAATAATTTTATACATAGACTAAATATTATATTGTATCAATATTAGAGATTTAATTTAAAAAATAATACTACAACACATAACTCTGCAATATAACAAATTTAATATGTTGAGTGCCACGGTGCAAACTAAAATTACTATTTTATGAGATTGTAAGAACTAAAAGGGTATCCTGTGACCTATAATATTTTGTAACTAAAGTAAACAATGAAACTTTTGAATAAAAGGTAATAACTAGAGCAAGTGTCATATTTTGGGCTATACGGTTGACTAGAAATAAAATAACTTTTTTTATAAAAACACTGTACTATTATTTACAAGTTATTTTTGGGGCAATACTTGGCAAGGTTCTGATGGTGCGTCCTTCAAAGGAAGGCCGACAAACCCAATTTGAAGTGAGCATGTCGAGTAATGGAGACTACGGGAAATAGGGATCTTCGTCAAGAATTGTTGGTGATCTTGTTGTACACTTATAGTTTGTTGTTAGTTTCCTTTTATCTCTTCAAATTTGTTGCTCTTTGAGAGTTTCTTCACTTCGGCCGAGGCTATAAAACTTTGTAATAATGAATGGTTTTCCTTAATTTGTCTACTACCGCGTATAAGCATATCTTATTGGACTGTGTATTAGGCAAGGTTTTGGTGGTGCCTCCTTCAAATCGAATTTGAAGTGGGCATGTCGAGTAAACAATAATGTGGATCTTCACCGAGAATGGATGGCTATCCATGTAATAGATTTTGCGTTTAGTTTGTTGCTATTTTTTGTGGATCCCTTCAAATTTGGTACTCTTTGAGAGTTTCTTTTTTTTCGCCCCAAGGCTATAATAACTTTGTTGTAGTAATAGATAGGGATGAAAACGGATCGGATACGGACGGATATCACCGATATTACATTTGTTTTCATATTTTTGTCCGGATTTGGATTCGAATACGGATAGTGTCAACTATGTCGGATAGGATACGATTGATATCGACATCATAAATATGCGATTTGAGTATTCGGATACGGATACGGTATCGGATGTTGGATATCCGAACTCGGATATGGACAGATCTCAACCCCTCTAAACGGATTCGGTTTTGAATACGGTCGGAAAATATCCGTACCGTTTTCATCCCTAGTAATAGATGATCAAGTGCGAGACTCCTGTCGAGACCCGAATAAATTTTCCTTGGTCTAAAACATAACATCTCCTTTTTCCTGATAGCGATAAACTAAAGAAAGACGGCCCCGTTCGGCTGGCAGAATTTTGGCTGAAACTGGCTAAAAAACACTGTTCTGCCTGAATTATTGTAAGAGAAAAACATTGTTCCGGCTAAAAAAAAGAAGCCGAACAAGTCGAATATGGGGTAAGCCGAACGGGGCTGATGACGAGTCATCATTCATTCATCAAGGCAGAAGCCAAAAAGGTTAGAAGGATGTCAAAGAAGAGACTGTCTGATGGGACTGCGTATCTGATGCTGTAACTTTGTCCCCAACTAACCCAATTCAACGAAAAACCACGAACGGACAAATTAAATCAGAAAGAAAGAAAGAAAGAAAGCCAGCAAGCCACACGCACGCATGCAAAAGTCGTCGTCGTCGTCGTCGTCATTGCTCACTCACCGGTAGAGGTAGAGGTAGAGACATGGACGTCCGCTGGTCTTGCGCGTCGGCCCCGCCGTACGCCTGCAGGAGGCGGTCGTCCGCTCTGTACAGCACCTGCCGCAGCTCCGCCAGCCACCGCCGCGCGCGGTCATCCTCCAGCACCTGGTTCTCGGCGTCCTGCGAGTAGAGCAGCTCCCGTTCCAGCTCCCCCCGGAGCTTCTTGGCATCTGCCCGGAGCTCGGCGCCCGCCTTGCGCAGCGGACCCCGGAGCAGCATGTCGTCCAGCGCCCGGATGACGTGCGCGCCCAAGGCGCTCACGCTGACCGCCATGGGTGGCCTCCGGCAGGCTAGGGAGAGCTAGCTAGCGATGCGGCTTCTACGGGGGCCAGGCCAACTGGAGGATGGACAACGTGGGACGACGACAGGGCAACAGGCCAAAACCGCGCCGGTACAGTAGTACAACGTCATTTGGGAAAATTTTAGTGCCATTTGATTTGATCTGGCATTGCGTTGGCGTGCGCGCTAGCTTTAATTTTGTTGGTTCGACCATTGACTTTATATATACAACATGATATGATATGTATATACGAGGTCAGTCATCAGTGGGCCTATAGTAGCTTACCACGACGAGATTAATTAAAACCTTTTTGTAAGCTGTCAAAGATGCGTGGCATATTCTAGGGATCTCGTATATGTATACATATATAATACCTGAGTATTTTACTGATGAATGATGATATGTTGATTGTGAATATATATATATACTCGCTTAGAGCGGATCTGACTCTCGGCATCTTCAACGAGAAGAGTTATAGGAGTATTAACGAAGCAAATGGGTTATAGTTCAATAGCGTGTCTTGGCATGATGTGATGCCTTCTGTAATTGATCTAGACCCTGGCCAATATCATAGTGGAGGTGGAGATTCAAGATCTAGAGTCTAGACCCAGTAAATATGAAATTAAATAAGCATGGAGACCAGCCACCCAACTAGGACTTGCCGTTTCACTCCTACAAAAATGTTTTCAGGGGACAGTGGAGTTAGTTTACAGAGAGAGAAGAGAGAAACCTTTGATCTATCATCTCTATAAATCATTTATAGTAGTCAACAAACGGACAAAACCCACCTTAACAAATTGATTAACTGAGGTCTGCCTTTGGAAAGTCCAAGGCATGCAGGAAGGCCTATGAAAAAACCCAACTCCCCTTCCTACCGCAACTACCCCCAACCGCACCCCCAGTCGCAGCTCTCATATCTCCCCATGCACGTTCTCTTCTTTCCCCTAACCGCACCAACCTAAAATGCCCAATTATATCACTACTAACGGTGTGAATGAGCTAAGTCAATCTAGGTTAGGGTTTGAGTGCTTATTAGGTGGCATGCATGATTAAGATGCAAGCTAGAGACTGATCCAAGAAGATGAAAAAGGAGACTTGAAACACTGACCCATGGGGACTTTATACCGTTTCAATGTGTCCTTTGGTGTTGGTACTATTGTCCTTTGTGGTTGTATATGCTTTATGTTAAGCAGAGGTTGGAAGTTCTTTTAGAAGACTTAATACCGTCTCAATGTATAATATTCTTGAAAAGATAATAAAAGCTCCCTTTATTGAAAGAAAAACAAATGTCTCCTCTTTGAATCCTATGGTCTCAATGATGAAGAGAAATAATAAAAGAGTCAAATAGCACATAGAGTAGAAACAAAATCAAGCAAATTGCAATAGGAGCAAACATGGAGAGCACAACCGTTTTTCTATCAAACTGGAATCTTTTGGGCCTCTTGTTTTCTAGAGCCACTATCTCTTCAACAATTTCATCTTGTTCACACGGATGTGTCTCTTCAACAACTTCGTCTTGTTGAGGGGTGTGTGCATTTTGTGGGGCCGATGCTTCAACAATTTCGTTTTGTTGAGCGAGTTGAGCCATGTGTTCATTTTGTGGTGCTGCCACTAGTAGAGAAACGACTTTTGATCCACTTCGAAATTTGGCTTTAGTCCCGGTATTTTTTTGCTTGGGACTAGAAATTTTAGTCGGTTGGTGTCTCCAACCGAGACTAAAGGTCCTCGCCTAACGGCTATCTGCGCTTCAACGCGATGGCGAGGGGACCTTTAGTTCGGTTGGAGACACCAAGCGGGATAAAGGTGAACCTACTCCCGGTTGGAGCCACCAACCGGGACTAAAATCCTCTAAGTTTTAGTGCATTTATTGCCGTGCTTTATGAGCTGATGACCAAGACCTGAACTTTTAGTCCCGGTGCTTTACTTGTACCTGCTTGCATTTACGAGTGATGACCAGCACTTGAACTTTTAGTCCCGGTGCTTTACTTGTACCTACTTGTATTTCTGAGTGATGACCAAGACCTGAACTTTTAGTCCCGGTGCTTTACTTGTACCGCTTGCATTTCTGGTGATGACCAAAGACCTTGAACTTTTAGTCCCGGTGCTTTACTTGTACTGCTTGTATTTACGAAATGATGACCAAAGACCGAGATTTAGTCCCGGCTTGCATTTACCGCTTGCATTTACGAGCTTTAGTCGGCTTGCATTTACACGCTTGCATTTATTGTCGACATCGAAAGCGAAGACCTTTAGTCCATTTGGTATTACGAGCCGGGACTAAAGGTATACCTTAGTACCTTTAGTCCGGTGGTATTATCGGCCGGGACTAAATCTTTAATCCCGGCGTTCACTGAAGCCTCGATGGGCCGCCCGAAGACATAATATGCTGGAATTGCTGGCTAGTCCCACCTATTAGCACCACCTCGCTTGCTCGGAAGAGTGAAAGCTAACTTAAAAGCTCGACTCTCGAACCAAGCAGCCACGAACTTGAACAGGATTGTACCCGCTGATCCTTGACTAAAGATCCTTTGTACTATAGTTTATATAAAATGTTGAACATTATAAGCGTCACGTATATTCTAGCAGCGTAGAATGCGTATTCAAAAACCAAAACGAATCATCAATTAAAAATAGGAAAAAGGAAAATAGAAATAGAAATAAAAAAAACTGGTAGCAGCGTGAAAAAATAGAAAAAAAAGGAAAATAGAAATAGAAACAAAAAAAAAAAAAAAACCTTTAGTCCGGTTGGGGTTACCAACCGGGACTAAAGAGTGCCAACCCTTGTGGCATGTCGGGGAGGCACCTTTAGTTCCGGTTGGTGTTACCCACGGGACTAAAGGACCCCTTTAGTCCCGGTTCGACCGGGACTAAAAGACCCCTTTAGTCCCGGATGCTTGCTCCCGGGTGGGGAACCGGGACTAGAGGGGTTCTCCACCGGAGTAAAGCCCGTCTCTGTGCAGTGTGCCATTTCAATAATCCGTTCTGTTGAGCTGTGTGTTCATTTTGTGGGGCCACTGCTTCTTCAACAATTTTATCTTGTTGCGGTTCCCATGTGTTGTCCACACTGACTACTTTACCCTCTACAAAGCCACAAAGCTTATCCTCAATACCAATCGTAGTTCTGGTATCAACCTCTAACCTCATAAGTGTTGTTGATTTTTGAAGAATGAGAGGAATGGATGTCAACTTTATGCATCCTAATAACCTGAGTGTATGAAGTTGTGGCAGATCTTGGCTCTCCAGATCAGACCATGTATCCTGGCTCTGTAGATCAGACCATGTGTACACAGCCTACAACTAGCCATTGAAGAAGCTCTTAGTGAAACCACAAGCTAGTTGATATCAATAGGTTTTGTTAAGTTTTATTCCTCTAGGAATGTTATACCTTTCTTGGACGTGGCTAGTGGCGAAGTTAGAGTAAATTAGAGGGTGGTGCATTTGCCTTGTATGTGTGAAAATTTAAGCTAAAACCATGGTGAAATTTTGATTTTAGTATTGGTTTTCAATTTTTTGTGGGTGCATGTGTACCCACAAGCTACTAACATATAGCTTCGCCACTGGACGTGGCCATATTCTTTCTTATACCTTCAGTTTCTAGCATCGTCATTTATTCAATAGTAGTTTCTTCTCGTTGGAATAACTAGAATCCTTGAATTCCATATCCTAAACCTATGTATCTCTAGAATATCTATTCCTTGACCAAAGGTCATATATGTAATTTTGCACATATTTGGAGTTCCTGAGAGAATTAGAAAGAAGTTGGAAAGTCAACCAAGGCAGTCATATACTGTTGGAGCTTAGGGACCGTGGCCTGGGTTTGAATTCCCAGCGGCGGTTTGGCGGCGCCATGCTCGGCACTTGGTGGTGAACGTGAACGAGAGAGAGATAGAGAGCAACAATGCCAAAGAGCGAGAGAGATAAACTCAATCTCGGCTAACCTTCTCATAAAACAAATGTTTAGCCTTATAGGCAAATCCAACGTCATCGCTAACAAACTCCTAAAAATACTCTAGTGATCTAACAAACCAAATGATCTAATAACCCAACTAAACTAATCCTGGAAAAGTGGCGTCGAGACCCGTAGTGATCGCGCCCAGCGCGTCGTGGTGACCACGCGCAGCTCACGCACTCCCATCGCGCGCGCACCCTCTAGCCATGGCTGCACTTCTTCCTCTGATAGGTCTGGCCCACCATAACATCTCTCCCCCTTGGGAAACAGCTCGTCCTCGAGATGGAAGGAGGGATGCGCGGCGCGGAACGCTTCGACCAGCTCCCAAGTCGCCTCAGACGCTGGCATGTTTGCCCACTGGACCAAGATGTGCCAAGTGCCACGCCGCAGGCTGGCACGCAGGACATGCTCCGGCTGCTGTAGAAGTCGCCCGTGCTGAAGAGGTGGAAGTGCTGGAACGAATGTTAGAGGAGGGCCACAGAACGGCTTCAGCACGCCCACATGGAACACATCGTGGATGCAGGCACCTTTAGGCAGCTGCAGCCGGTAGGCCACCGTGCCTACGCGTTCCAGCACCTAATATGGCCCAGCATACTTGGGCCCGAGCTTCCCGTGGACGCTGGGAACTAGGGACTGAGTTGGCCGATGCAGCAGATGCAACCACACCCAGTCGCCGATGGAGAACTCCAGAGCTCGATGATGCGCGTCGTAGTGACGACGAGCGTACTCCTGCGCCTGAAGCAGACCGACGCGTACCTCCATGAGGAACTCGTTGCGGTAGGCCAGCATGGTGTCGACGGTGTCGGTGCGAGCGCTACCCGGCTCGTAAGGCAGCAGTGCCGGTGGTGCCCGACCATAGACCACCGTGAACGGCGTCGTGCGGAGAGCCGGGTGGAATGAAGCGTTGTAACAATACTCTGCCCATGGAAGGCAGTCGAGCCAGTTGTGTGGGCGGTCACCGGTGATGCATCTGAGGTACATGGTGATCATCTTGTTAACCGCCTCGGACTGGTCGTCGGTTTGAGGATGGAAGGCCGTGCTCAT